GGAGTCGGAGGAGGGGGGAGCAGGAGGATAGGAGGAGGAGGAGCATGAGGAGGATGATGAAGGAGGAGGAAAGCAGGAGGAGGATGAGGCGGAGGAGGAGGAGGTGCAGGAGGAGGAGGATGAGGAGCAGGAGGAGGAGGAGGAGGAGAGGAGGATGAGGTAGGGGAGGGAGGAGGAGGAGGAGCAGGGAGAGGATGAGGAGGTGGCATCTTGGGAGTCCGCGGGGGCGCTCTTGGTGGGCCTCCTGGGAGCTTCCTGGAAGCCTCTTGGAGGCATCTTGGGGGCCTTCCTGTGCCTTCTGGGGGCCTTGGGGGCCTTCTGGGGGCCTTTTGTGAACTTCTCGGGTGTCTCTTTGGCCGTCTTAGGGTATTGCTGGCCCACCTGACGCCGTCGGACGCCGTCTTGGAGGCTTCTCTGGGCCGACTTGGCCCTCTTTGGGTGCTCCGAGGCCGCCTTGGAGGCCATCTTGGGCGTCTTGGTGGCCGCTTGGGCCGTGTTGGGGCCCTCTTGGTTCCGTCTTTGGGGCCCCTTGGGCCGTTTTGGGGCCATGCTGGAGGCTTCTCGGGCGATCTTGGTGCGATCTTTGGGGGCTCTTGGGCCGTCTCTGGCCGTCGGAAGGCCGACAAGAAGCAAATGCCACACTCCATCAACCACCTCATGATGATCAATAATCTTGGCCTCTTCGGGCCTTCCTGGAGGTCTTCTTGGAGGCCTGTGGGGCCGTCTTGGAGACCTCTTCGGGGCCTCTTGGGCTGTCTTGGGCCATCTTGGAGCCATCTTGAGCCGTCTTGGTGGGCTCCTGGCCCGTCGGACGCTGGCGGAAGCCGTCTCTGGGCCGACCGGGGGCCCTCTTGGGGTGCTCCAGGGCCGTCTTGGAGACCATCTTGGGCGTCTTGGAGGCTTCTTGGGCCGTCTTGGGGCCCTCTTGGTGCCGTCTTGGGCGTAGGGCCATCCTGGAGGCCATTTGGGCGATCTCGGGGCGATCTTTCGGGGCTCTTGGGCCGTCTCGGGCCGTCGGGAGACCGACAAGAAGCAATTGCCAAATTCTTTCGCCAGCCGAAGGGGAATCAATCGTTTTAGCCTCTTCGGGCCTTCCTGGAGGTCCTCGTGGAGGCCTCTGGGGCCGTCTTGGAGACCTCTTCGGGGCCTCTTGGCCATCTTTGGCCGTCTTGGTGGGCTCCTGGCCCGTCGGACGCGCTCTTGGGCCGTCTCGGCCGTTGGAAGGCCGACAAGAAGCACATGCCAACTTCTTTCGAATACCTCAGGAACATCAGCGATGTTTGCCTCTTTCGACCTTCCTAGAGGCCCTCTTGACGGCCTCTTTGGCCGTCTGAGAGGCCTCTTGGGGGCGTCGTGAGCCGTCGTGGGCCATCTTGAGGCCATCTTGGGCCGTCTTGGTGGCGTCTTGGGCGGGCTTGGAGGCATCTTGGACCCTCTTAGGCCATCTTGGAGGCCATGTTGGTAGATATTGGGCGAACTTGGAGGCCATCTTGAGCCATCTGAGCCGTCTTGGAGGCCGTCTTGGAGGCGATTTTCGTTTGCATGCGAATTATACGTCTTTCTGGGTGGCCGGCGGGCCGCGCCGAATCAAGAGCCAAAACCAAAAGAGTCGGGTTCAGCATGCCAGGCACCCCTGTGGCAAGACCACAGGGTGCGGCGGATCCGATGGCCTTCGGCCCATCTCGCCACCGTGCCTGGGTTATGGGCATTCAGCTTATTGGATGTCCGTGGGGATCTCGCGGGATCCCTCTCGGGGGCCTCTCGGAGACAGTTCGGAGGCCTTTTGGGGGCCGTTTGGGGACCTCGTCGGCCTCTTTTGAGCCTCTTGGGGCCCTGCGGCACGGTGGCGGATCCTCAGCCAAAGGACCTGAGGACCCGCCCGCTCGGTGCCCAGAGGCACGGTGGCGGATCCTCAGGATTTGGGCCCTGCGTTCTGGCTTCCTCCTCGAGCTGTGGAACTGGATAGATTTGACCCTTGTTATCCTCTGGGCGTGCAGCCTGGCTCTGTCATTCACCAACCCTCACTTTGTGAGACTGGCTCGCCTGGCTCGTCTGGCACGCCCTGTGAGGCTGATCAGGTTTATGCACCTTCGAAAGATTGATTCTCTGTATCTCATAGTAACTGCACTCGAAAGTGGTGCCATTGTCTTATGTTGGACGTTTGTAGTGATGCTTTCGATTCACATATTGTTAGCTCTTCTGATTCATGGCATTCTTCACGAAACGTACTTCGAGGTCTCCAAGTTTGATGAGCAGACTCTTGTTCATTAGGCTGGTGCCACAACCGCCAATTCTTCGGCACTTTGAGACTGCGGTTGGCTCTTGCAGGCGTCGGCCCAGGAACGTTACACAGGATCTGAGCAGGACGAGCAGACGGAGGATGAGGGTGAGGAGGGTTAGGGATGATGAAGAGAAGGAGGAGGAGGAGGAGGAGGAGGAGGAGGAGGAGGAGGAGGAGGAGGAGGGCGACGAACTGAGGGAGCATGAGGAGGAACATGATTTGGAGGAGGAGAAGGAGGAGGAGGTGGTGGTGGTGGTGGAGGAGGTGGTGGTGGCGGTGGAGGATGGAGGAGAAATGCGAGGAGGGGGAGGCGTGCGGGAAATGTATGTACTTGTGTGTATATATATTTATAGAACGTGTACATGGAGAGATGTGCAAAGATAGGGTGGGGGAGAAGATTGTGCAACGCGGTACGTTCGTCGGAGTGGGGAATGAGATCCGAGTGACATCGGAGAGCCTCCCCAGGCCCCCCTCGGGATCCCGCAGATGGGGCGTGTGCCCCGCTGTGTGTGTGAGAGAGATAGAGAGAGTTCGATCGGTTTTTGCACCGAGCCCCCAAAAACATGTGCCTCCCAGCCGCCGGCAGCTCCCGATGGTGGCGGATGGGGGGGGCATGTGGGGGGCGTCTGTTTGCGGCAGTTCGGTGCACCAGCGGATCGAGCTCATGCACCCCCCTCAGGGTCACCCCCCCTCTGGTGGATCCCGACCCCCCCCTCCCGGGCTCCCCGCCCCTCCCTGCCCCAGTCGCGACAGCGCTGTCTACAAGTACCCCCTCGGGCACAGCGGAAGCCCGTGCCAAGAAACACCCTGCTTGCCTCCAGGGTGCCCTGGGGTTCGTGGGTTCCGATGGTCTTGCGATGGGGAGCGTGACGTCCCCACACCAAGAAGCAATGGACGCCCTGGGGTCTCAGGGTTAGGTTTCTTGTGGAAGGGTTCTAGTGGTCGAGTTCCTGCTGTACCCCTTCGGGTACTCCAGATTTCGTAATAAAGGGAGGGGGGTCTCATTTCGGGGGGGTTTTTTCGTTTTTCGGGGGGGGTTCTCTCCAGCTATCTTGGAGGGTCTTGGGGGTCGGGGACGATGTTTTTGTTGGGAGGGATCTCTCCGCCGTCTCTCGTCTCTCTCATCTCTCTCCACGGGGAGGGGAGGTCTGAAATGGCTTTGTCTTGGGAGGGGTCCAGACCACCCAATCCCTTTTAAAATAGATAAAATAAAAAACTAATATAACATATTATAAAAATAATAAATTAATATGAAATTAAAATTAAAATATAAATATTAAATTTATATTTATATAAATAATTATATTGAAATATTTATTATTAATAAAATAATATATAAAAATAATAATTAAAATTAAAAAAAATTTAAAATAAAAATTAAATACAAATAAATAAAATAAAATTTAAAAAAAAGAAAAAATAAAAAAAAATTAAAAAAAAAAATTATATAAAATTAATATTAACGCAATCTAAATCTGGGTAACCCCGCGGCTACGAACGCCGGCTTCTTGAGCCAGCTCGCAGCCCACTGCGAGGCCACAGCCTCGCGCGCTCCGCCCAGAAGGTGCCTGGGCGATCGCGCCCGCAGAGCGCTGCAGCTGCCTTCCGATTCCCTCCCTCCGGGGGATTGGGCAGGTCTCGCAGAAAGGATTTGGGGAGGTCTCGCATGCTGGTGGGGCCCCAGGGACTGGCGAATGTTTGAGTACTACGGGACCTTCTCGCGCGCATTCTTCACGATGTTTGAGATAACCCTTGCAAATTGGCCGACGTCCTGCAGATTACTAATCGAGGAGGTCAGCGAATTGTTCATTATCTACGCGCTGCTGCATAAGATGATCCTCGGATTCGCAGTTATCCCGCTGCCTGCGGCAAGGCCTGCCGCCGTACCACTCTGAGTGGCGACTGGTTCGATAAGCGCACAGGAAGCGCATGGTCTCTCGTGTCCCGAGGTTTGGGAGAGCCGTAACATATAACGCGCTCGTCGTGTCGGGGTGCCGTTCTCTTCGTGCTCGTCGTCGTCGTCATCCTTTTTTCCTCTTCTTCCCTCCCCCTCCTCCTCCTCCTCCTTTGGGCCTCTTGGGGGGCTTCTTCTTGGGGGCCTCTTGGAGGCCTCTTTGGGGCGTCGCGGGGGCCTCTAGTGATCTCCTGGGGGCCTCCTTGGGCTGCCGTGGGGCGCTGTGGGGCAGTCGGGCGCCTGCGGAATCCTGAAGGTCCTTTTGGAGTCCCCTTGGGCCGTATTTTTAGGGGCCGTCTTGAGGCCATCTTTGCGCGTCCGAGGGGCCTCTAGGGGCAGTCTTGAAGGCATCTTGTCAGGAGGAAAAGAAATACACAGACACAATTAATCTTCGATTCCCTCGAAAATATGGGAAAATATGGGAAGTGGGGGGGAAGACAAAAACCCAGAACATGTGGGAAAATATGGTGAATCCTTTCAATTGTGTGTATCTATTTGTGTGTTCTGGGGCCCCTTGGGCCGTAGTTTTTGGGGGCCAGCTTGAGGCCATCTTCGCGCGTCGGAGGGGCCCCTTTGGGGCAGTCTTGAAGGCGTCTTGGGCCTCCCTGGCGGCCTGGGCGGCCTGCCTGGGCGGCCCGCCTGGGTCGGCCCAGCCAGCCCGGGGACAAAGATTTTGGCGGCAGGTCGCGGGCGGTGGGCGCAGCGACGGGCGCCCGAGCACGAGCGCAGGGCCCCCTCCTCCTCCTCCTCCCTCTCCTCCTCCTCTTCCCTCTCCTCCTCCTCCTCCTCCTCCTCCTCCTCCTCCTCCTCCTCCTCCTCCTCCTCCTCCTCCTCCGTCCCCGTTCGGGAGCGTCAACCTCGCCTCGGGCGTCGGATCCGGGGACGGAGCCGCCGCGGATACTATGCGGCTCCAGGGCCTGCTGGGCGGATGCGGTGCGAATCCGATCGGTGTGGGACGCGTCCGAGTGGCGGGAAATCTAGCGTGGTTGGCACGGGTCCTGTCGGACCACAGTACCCTCGTGTGATATGAGTTATTGAGAGGCAGCGAAAGACTCCGAGGGCGACTTACGCAGGGCACGGAGCTGGTGCGACAGAGGGGGGGCGCCCCCTAGAACTGGAATCGGGCGATCCTCTATAGAACTTTCGTCAAGCGGCCCCTTCTGCAACGCTGCAGGGCTGCTCCTGCCAGAGCTTTCCTCTGGCGGCTCCTGGATCTGCACCGGGCTGCTCCTCTGGGTTCCGACGTTTTGGCCGTCGCGCGCTCTGATCACCGGACTTCGCCGTCGCCGCCGTCGTCGTCGCCGCCGCCGCCGCCGCCGTCGCTCCTGTTGGAAGCCCCTTGAGCCAAGAAGGCGACGGTCCCGGTCCACTTGAGCGCAGCAGCCCCTCCCCCAACTCGCCCGTGGGAGCTCCTGACCGTGCCTGGGCGCGGTCGCGCCCGTGCACCTTCATTCGGTTCGGACCTCGGTTAAGCGTTGATCCAGTCACGCGTCCAGTCCTGGCAGTGGCTGCCTCTAGGGGACCTCGGGAGGAGAAAGCGATGCATGCTGTGTGTGTGTGTGTGCGTGTGTGTGCGAGGGGGGGTGGGCTTAGAATATTTACATAAGCTCTACCAGACAGCACCTGAGCGACGGAACAAAACGGGATCGACCGCGCCAACCCTAGCGCGCAAGTTCCCCGCGTAAGGTCGCGCGTAACCGCTCTTTTCTCCGCTCGATGTGCCACGGTGGCGGCCAGCGTCAGCCGCGGCGTAGGGTGACTACGTCATCATGCGAAAAAAACATGTGTTTTTCGTCGTTTACCTGGTATTCCACTACGCCTAAAGGTGCTAGGGGGCACTTTGGCGGATCGGAGTTGTCAATGCAGTTTTTGTTCAAGAGACGTTCAAATCGGCTTCAGCGGATGATGTTGTCATGATTGCGCAGTCATCGCGGAAGGCTGAAGTGCATGCCCGCAAAATGCGTCACCTTTTTTCAGAGGCGGATGTCAATGGGGACGGCCATGTCACTATTGAGGAGTGGAAAGATATATGCGAAGATCCCTTCGTCAAGGTATGGCTCGGTGCCCAGGGCATCGAACTGGGGGATGCAGAGCAACTCTTCCACCTGTTGGACAACGGCTCCGGCAGGCTCACCTCCGAAGAGGTCATCAAGGGCACGGCACGTCTGAAGGGTACCGCCGCCACTATGGTCATCATGGAGCACATCCAGAAGATCAGCGAGGAGGTGCAAACCATGGAGCGGCAATCCGCCCTGCACGGTGCAGCCGAGACGAAGCTGAGCCTGATCTCGTGACCGGCTTCGGGCCGAACCCGCGCGGGTTTTTCTGCCCGGGCGATTCCTCCGGTCGCCGCCTGGGCTGGTGTACGCAGAGAGGGGCTCAGCCCAGGGTGTTGTCAGGGAGCGAGTGCCAGCATGAGGCTGACATCTCCCTTCTCCAATGGCTGTCCAGAACGATTTTCGTGAACCCACCTTGGGCCTTATCCGACCTCTCTTGTCGGAATGGCGGTTTGGAAACGACAGGGGACGGAAACCCGTCACGCAGCAGCACCCTGGGGGATGATGAATAAGTTGGGTTTGGTCTTGCTCGTGGGCGTCGCCGTCGTTCTTGAGATTCGTTGATCATCCTCTCCAGAATCTGTCCCAAAGCAGGGAGCTATGTCTGATTCGTTCCTTCCCTTGTTCCTCATTCTCGTCATTCCGCATTACGCCCTCCCGACCTGGGCAAACGGCGCAGAAGCTCGCTTGTGGCGAAACTGTGAGTGCAGGTGTTGCGATGGCTTCGTTCTAAGCCTGCGGGCTCCATTGGTGGGAGGCAGCGGATAACCGAGAATACTGTAGTGAGTTGGAGTCTTGCGTTATAATGCACCGAGTGCTCGCTGCGACTGATGCATGGTGTTTCTAATTCCCTGGTCTGGACAGGCCAGCCTGCCATTTGTAGCTCGCCGCTGCCCCCTTCGCGAGGGCCAGCCTTGCTGACAGGAGCGCGATTCGATTCACGATTCCCTCTGCAGGGAGGTGGATGCAGAACGGGGAGTTCAGTGGAGAGGCAGGGTGAGGGGGAGGGAACGGGAACTGATGATGATGATGATGATGATGATGGTGATGATGGTGATGATGGTGATGATGGTGATGATGATGCTACTGATGGCGATGGTGATGCTGCTGATGCCGCTGATGATGATAATGATGCTGGTGACGATGAAGAAAACTATATTAATGTTGGTCAGGATGATGATGACGATGATGATGCTGCTGCTGATGATGATGATGATCATCATCGTCATGGTGGTAAGGAGGAAGGGCAGGTGGAGGAAGAGGATGATAATGATAGCATTCAGGAGAAAGAGTGGGACTTTCGTACATGTTGTGAGCGCTAATGATCTGGGTCGAGCTTAGTGGATTGCCTTTGTGCCTCGGCGCCCAAGGACGGGGCCCCATTATCTGCCCTTCTCTGGCAAGTGCTGGCCGTGTATAATATTCTCACAGGTTGCCAAGCCGAGGCGCTGCCCGATGCCCCAAGTGCATCCGCACAATTCCAATTGTTTCTGAAAGCCCATCAGTTAGGGTAAGCTTCTCCGTGCCCGCAGTCGGGGAACGCACATTTGTCACCGCATCATTTGCCCTTGTGTGGCAAGTGTCGCGCGCGTATACTATTCTCACGGACTGCCAAGCCGAGACACTGCCCGACGCCCAAAAGTGCCTCCGCGCAACACGTTTTTCCCCCCTTTGTCTTAGCTTTGCAGCCCGGCCCGCGGAAGCTCTGCGCTCGTGCCCCCCCCTCCTCTCAAGGATCACTTGGAAGAGGAGGACGGCGAGGAGGAGGAAGAGGAGGGACGCCGAGGATGATGATGATGATGATGATGATGATGATGATGATGATGATGATGATGATGATGATGATGATGATGATGATGCTGATGATGATGATGATGATGATGATGATGATGATGATGATGATGATGATGATGATAATGATGATGATGATGATGATGAGAGGAGGAGGAGGAGGAGGAGGAGGAGGAGGAGGAGGAGGAGGAGGAGGAGCGATGAGAGAGAACAGGCCATGAGAGAGAGGGAGGATAGAGAGAACGGAGAAGAGAGAGAGAGAGAGAGAACGGAGAGCTGCAGCCTGAGAGGACCGGGTGCACACGCACGTTCGGTATCCTTGCTTCTGCGATGTGCACACATGCTGCAGGCCCTGTGCTGCGGAAGTTTCCTGCGCCGCGGGCGTCGGCCGTCGTGCCCAACCCGGTCGGGTGCCTGGACCACGTCGGCCTGCATCTGCGGTGGGGGGCACGGGCCTGTCGGGCCTGCCGCTCCGCAGGCGCGGGCAGGAGCCGTACACGACCAGCGTTCTGCTGCGCGTGCCCGACCCCCGGGGGGGCTCCTCGCGGGCGCGCGGGGAGCGAGCCATCTGGTCGCAGGGGTAGCTTGGCACACCCGGGAAGGATATTCGCGTGCCCGCCCTGGCGTTCTCGAGTTCCACAGCGTGGAGCCTGTGCTGGAGGGTGGCGCTTCTCTCTCTCTCTCTCTCTGTCTCTCTCGCTCTCTCTTTTTCTCTCTCTCTCTCTGTCTCTCTCTCTCTCTGTCTCTCTCTCTCTCTCTTTCTCTCTCTCTCTCTCTTTTTCTCTCTCTCTCTCTCTTTCTCTCTCTCTCTCTCTCTCTCTCTTCTGCACGCTGAAGCAACGCAGCCAGGGCTGCACCTCAGATGCTTCTCCGTGCTCGCCCGGCGGCAGAGGGCGTGGGCCGGCCACGCTCATCACTTCCGTTTTGCGAGCCTCTGCGGTTCAAGCGGTGGCGAAGCGTCCTGGCGTGCCTACAGGCCTACCGAGCAATGTTCTAAGCACCTTGTGCTGTTTCCACGAAGTGTTCTTAGGGCATTTCTGGCGGAGCCTGTCTCGTTTTAAACACATCGTGTGTGTGTTCTAAGGACGTTGTCTTGTTCTTGGAACGTTGTTGGGTTCTACAACCAGTTCGTGGTAGGCCTGTAGGAATGCCGGGACGGTAGGTCCCTGCCCAAGCGGCAGGCTCGGTGGTGGTGGTGGGGAGCGCCCCGGCGGGCAGGAGCGCAGCGCGGCGCATGAGCCATACATGTGTACAATTATAGACACACACATTTGTATATGTATGCTTCCTTCTCTCTCTCTCTCTCGATATATATATATACACATATATATATATATGTATGTCTCTCTATATATATATATATGTACAAGGCTGCATTGGTGCTTCGCGCCATGCACCTTGTTTCTTGCAGCTTCGGGGCGGTTGGACTGTCGCGCCTTCTTCTTTTCCCTTTGAGGCGTGCTCGCTCGCTCGTATCACGGAGAAGCGGGGGAAGGGGAGAAGGGGGCAGTTAATTAGGGAAGGGCAAAGACTGTGAGTCGGAGACGACGGGCGTACGGAATGGCGTTTATGGAAACTGCTGAAATCCTGGGTGCGCAACCGAATTTACTGAAAAATGGTTGCGAACCTGGGGTTGTGGGCAAACTGCGGCTTCCCGTAATGAAATACCATCTGCGCGGGCGAGAACTCAGGGATCTACATGGGGGCCTGCCGAAGCGGTGTGAGGGCCTTGTGGCCCATCTCGGAGCCACCACGGACTGTCCTCGGGGCGTCTTGGGACTGCCGATCGCCCGTTTGCACGCTTGGGTGAACGCGGAAAAGACGCCCTGGAGAGCTGGAACTCCTGGGTGGTGCTGTCGAGGAGCGCCCAGATGGTGTCTCCCGGCGGTGGGGAGAGGCGGCGGCGGGGCGGCGCGCGGCGCGCGCCCCAAGGCCTGCAGCGCATTGCTTTTTTCAATCGCGGCGTTCCTCCTCATTCTCGGCCTCTGAGAGGCCGCCTTCGGGCACCGGGGCCGTCGATCGGCGGCGAGCGAGGGAGGGGGAAGTGAGAAGGAGAAGGGCCGCTCAGAAGGCGGCGGGGCTTCTCAGAACTCCCCCGGCCTTCCGAGAGGTTTTCTGCGTCTTCGGGGAATGCCTCGAAAGCTCCGCAGGAGGCCAGTAAAACGACGCGAAGATCGGGACAAAAGCGAATCGGGATAACTCGAAATCTCTGAGAATCGGCGGGTTTGGAGGATGTATTGGGCGCCGCGGCCGCTCCAGAGCGTTACGGAACGCTTCAAGAGCGCTCCGGAACGCTCTGGATCGATTTATCACGATCCCAGCCCTGTTTTTAGCCGGGGGGCTCCCGAGCCGTCTGACAAGTCCTTCTCCTTCTCACTTCCAACCCTGGCCCGCCGCCGAATCGATTCAGGATGATGAATCGCCCTGGGGCAGCTCTCCGCAGCGTCCCCGCCGCGGCCGCCGCCTCGGCTGGCAACCGCATCGGCGAAGGCACCGCGCAAACCCCAGGCCCGCGCGACGCGCGGATGGCGCGCCTGCGCGCGCGTAGATCGCAGCCTTTTGTGGGCCTGCGCCCGCTCGCCCCATGGCTGTGGAAGCATGTCGGGAGCCCTGGGGCTGTGGACCGAGAAGGCCGCAGGGCGTCTTTTTCCCAGAGGCGACACCGCGCAAGGCGCCCACCCTGCGCTCCAGGCAGGGCGGCCGGCCGAGGGGGTCAGCGCAGTCGCCACCGCCGTCGACGTCGTTGCCGTCGCCACCGCCGTCGTCGCCGCCGCTGGTGGTGCCGTCGCCGTCCTCGTGGTCGTCGTCGTCGTCGTCGCCGCCGCCGCTGCCGTCGTCGTGGTGATCGTCGTCGTCGTCGTCGTCGTCGTCGTCGCCGTCGCCGTCGCCGTCGCCGTCGCCGTCGCCGTCGTCGCCGTCTGTTGCAGTGAGGCAGATTTTCACTGATAGGTTCAGCGTCAGGAGCTTCTGTCCGTGACCAATTTTGGCTCAAGGGTAAAACACCTAGTCTGTCTCCGTCTGCCACAGTTGGTAGCGGAGCGTGGCCTGGGCGAGGTGCCATGGGCGGAGGCGACCCTGCCACGAGGTAGGCGGTCTGCCGCTCGCGCGCCCTCGTCCGCGGCCGCGCTCGCACTGACGAAGCAGCGTGGGATCCACGGCCAAGGTGATCATGCCCGCCGACGGCGAAGCGGGGACGGAGGCGACGGAGTTCCACGTGGGCACTGGCAGCCAGGAGGCTCCAGGCAGCAGCTCGGGCAGCCAGAACGCCACGGTGACCATCCGACGCGAGGAGCTCAGGGACTTGATCAAGAGTGTAGTGTCAGAGACTATCAGATCAGGGGCTCCGGACGGAGGAGGTCATCGAGGAGTTGCTCACGAGGAGAAGTCACATGACGAGTGGCACGACACCGGCAAGGATCCCTGGCGAGAGGGTCGTGATCGAGGAG